TCAGCTTTCCTGCTCCTCTGATGCTGCTTGGCCTGCTGCGTTCATCCAGCTCTACACCTTGTTATCGCAGTCTTCCATACAATGTGCTTTTGACCATCCTGAGAAAGAATAACTTCTACAAAGATTAACACTTGGGAGATGACCTACTCCAAACCAAATACTGTTTCCCTATGCTTCTTAAGCCTACAGCCTGAAATCACATTTTTCTTGTGCAATTGTATTTTAATATTTCATTTCTGTTTTACTTTTAAAGAGAATTTATTAAAACTATGGTGAATTTTTAAACAATGTTACAAAGAGTAATTGTGCTTTAAGTAATTAATCAATTATTTAAGTTATATTAAATATGGATTTATGGGTTTTCCCTTGAAAAGGGCTTCCCTTGCGCACAATAATCATGGTTTTCTTTTGTTGACTGAGCTACTGTCTTTCTCCTCTGCTCCCTCCACAGATTCACTACACAGAAAATGAAATTACTTTCTACTATTCAAAAAGGGGAACTTCTTCACACTAATTATCCTTCACTACAAGCTAGGATAATGACCAAAGTGTGTGAATACTGGAAATCTGAAACAAAAATTACATGAGAAACTTAGAAGTCTGGCAGCAACCGTGGAGAGAAAACAGAGTTAATATTTCGGGTTCAGTAACCCTACTTTAGAACTGACTGTAGTTAGGATAAGGTGGTATTTATGCTGAAATCAGGGGGTTGGTGGAGAAAGCAGTAAATGATAGGCAGAGATGGAGTCCAAAGGGAATGACAAGCAGTTGGGCAAACAAAAGAATTAATAATGGTGAGCTGGAGGGAAAGAAAAGCTAATAGGGACCATTAGTGACTGAAAATGGACTGGCTGTGATGAAAGCAGCTCATTTGATGACAAGGTCTGGGGTGTGAGAATGGGTAAAAGACAGAAGAAAGTGCTCAGGCCCCAAAATTATTGAACTCAATATTGAGCTCTGAAGGTTGCCGGGTACCCAAGTAGAAAATAAGATGCTGTCCTTCCAACTTGCACAGGGCCCTACAGCAAGTCCAAATGTTGACCAGGCAACCAGACAGAACACAGATGCTCCACGAAAGGTTGCCTAGTCTGTGTTGTAGAAGAGACCATACCATGAGCAATGAACACAGTAGACTAGACTGAATGAGGTGCGGGTATATCACACGGAAGGGGTCTGAGGTCTTGGAAAGTGAGGAGGAAATAAACAATATGTGTTACACCTCTGCGGAAGGCTTGGCAACAGAGTAAGCTAAGGTGTCCCAGAGGGAATAGTACCAAAGAAGGCTGACAAAGGACAGCAATGTTTGTCTGGTGTACATCCAGCTAGAAGTGATGGAAATGGCAGCTTACAATCCTTTGGATGCGGATGCTGGTGCTGGCGAGCAGATGATGAGGACTGCACGGACCCTATCAGTATTGGGCGGGGGGGGGGGAAGATGAGTGAGGATAGAAGTGGGGAAATAGGTCAGAAATGGCTAAAGGCCCTGTCAAGCATAGTGGTGGGAACTCCTTGGTTGAGGAAAAAGGTGGACACTTCAGAGGGCACCCTGTAAACGGTGGCATCATCAGAATAGAAGCAGCATAGATGGAAAAAACTGGGAGAATGGAATGGAGTCTCTACAGGACGCAGGGTGAGCAAATGCAGTCTAGATAACTACAGCAGTCAGTGGGTTTGTTGTGGATACTGGTGGCCAGGCTATCCCCCAAAACGGAAACAGATGACGAAATAGGGAAGGCAGGAGTCAGAAATGGACCACATGAAGGTGAGGAGGGTGGATAATTTACTTCCAATTTCAGTCGAGAGGGAAGCAGCAATGATGTTATTGATGTACCAGAGAGCATAAGGGGGAGTGGCCCAAGTAGGTTAGAAACGAGGAACATTCCACAAAGAGACAGGCATAATTGGGGCACATGCAGATATCCATGGCCACACCTCTGAGCTGAAGGAAGAAAGAAAGAAGATTTGAAGGAGACATTGTTCAGTGAGGACAAACTTGGCCAGGTGGAGAAGGATGGGGACAGTTCAGACTTTTTGCCAGGAAGAACTGGAGAGCCCCAAGATCATCCTGATGGGGGATGGACGTGTAAGGTGATTCCACGTCTATGAAAAGGAGGAAGCTGGTGCCTGCAAACTGGAAATTCTGAAACTGATGTGTTAGAAGAATCACAGACATAAATACAAAGGGACTGCACGAGGAGAGAAAAAAAAAATCAAGTCGAAGTAGGAAGAGATGAGCTCCACAAGATGGAAGCAGCCAGAAACAATGAGTCTACTTGTACAGAGATAGTAAGAACTGCTGATGCTGGAGTCAGCAATAACACAGTGTGGAGCTGGAGGAACACAGCAGGCCAGGCAGCCTCAGAAGAGTAGTAAAGTTGACATTTCGGGTTGGGCCCTCTGAGGCTGCCTGGCCTGCTGTGTTCCTCCAGCAAAACATTGTGTTATTATAATCTACTTGTGTTAGTTCTGTTTAGGGATTTTGGGAAGAAGGTCAAAGCCAGGCTTGCGGGGTTGATAGGTGTCTTGACAGCTGGTGTTCAACTTCTGCAAAGTAGAGGTCTGTACACCACACAATAGCACCACCCTTATCAGTAGACTTGATTATACGGTCAGGGTTGGATCTGAAAGCATCAAAGTCAGTTTAGAGTGAGATGGGTTTTAATGAATGAGGAAGGTGGCATGGTGGCTCAGTGGTTAGCACTGCTACCTCATAGCACCAAGGACCTAGGTGTGATTCCAACCTTGGGCAACTGTGTGGAGTTTGTACATTCTCCCCGTGTCTGTGTGGGTTTCTTCCTCACAGTCCAAAGATGTACAGGTTAGGTGAATTGGTAATATTAAATTGCCCATACTGTCTAGGGATTTGCAGGCTTGGTGGATTAGTCCTGGGAAATGCAAGATTACAGAGATAGGGTAGGAAGGTGAGTTTGGGCAGGATTCTCTCTGCAAGGTCAGTGTGGGCTCAATGGGCTGAATGGCCTGCTTCCATGCTGTAGACATTCTATTCTAAGGCAGAAAAATTAAGGCAACCAATGTCACATCAACAGGTCAAGTGCAGGTAAAAGGACAGAGAGAAGGAATGTGTTGGAAGCTGGTGAAGGGGTCTGTGGGACAGGGAGAGGACTTTTGTCCAAGGAAACTGGCATGGAGGTGAAAGCAACAGAAGAAAGCTTCAACACTATATTTTGCTTGAAATTCAGAGGCAGGGCCACAGATGGATAACAATTAGCCTTACGTATAGTTGACCTCCCTACTGTGGAGATGAATTCTGATTGATGGGCAGCGTAACACAATGAATGAGAAATCAATCTGTGATGAATGAATAAACAAATTTATGACGTTGCTTTGGAAAGTTTGGATAAGTCATTGAAAGGCTGGGATGGTACCAGAAATTAGACTTCAAAGGAATATGGACTCCTTGACTTGTTGTTAGAAAGGGATGTTGGTGAAGTGACTGACTGACTGTTCCACCATGTAATGTTATTTGGAGATTTGGTGATGCATATACCAAGGCTTTTAAAAAAAATTGTTTTAGGGAATTGTCATTAACAGACTAATCTGGATTAAAATATTTAGCCAACTGTCTTAAACATTGGAATGAACAGCTAATGTTTGAGCTATAAAGTTATTCATTCCTCTCCAATAAAATTTTTCCCTTCCTTCCATTTTATGATTGTTAAATAAACTAATAGAATTATTGTTTTAAAGTATTAGTTAGCATTGAGTGACTCATTCCTGTTAAGTTCAGATCTGTTCTCTGGAAATAAACTTGTACCAGGACTCTCACCCTACTATACATTTTTTTGGTATGTGGGAACAATGATCACCTTTGAAGGAAAGCCATCCAAGTCTGCAAAATTACATTTCAACACATATCTATGCATGCACATATAGACAAAACAAAATATTCTGCAGCAAGTGTGTAAATTCCTGAATTTTTATTTTTTTTACTCCTATGCTGCCCTCAAACAAAATGAGAAGTATTTACATACATACAATCACCTTTTGGTTGGTAAAACAAGCTGGAAATCAAAGTAGTACTGGACACAAATCGTGCACAATATTTTTCCACTGGAAGGTCAAGCACTTAAGACACATTACTGTATTGCATAGAACTGGAACCGCAGCCCCTTTCCTGCAGATTTGAAAAAAGGCCCATTAAAGAGTACCCCGAAGCAAAGCAACTAAGTCTTTTGCGCGTTTTAGCAGCAAGACAAGACCTGCAGTAGTTAACAATGCTAACTTGCAAATGCAAGAAATTCTAGAATTTACATTCATACTTTGTGTATTTCTAAAAATGATTATTAAAGCTTTATTTTGAACTGTAAAAGGCCAAGCAATTAAAATCAGTGAAATATTAATAGTACCAAAAATCTCACCAAGAACGTTTTTACTCTTACTGGGATAATTTTAACCAGTGCAAAGCAAACACTTTTACTCACTTTCTAATCCTGGTTTTTAAATTTTATGACATTTAGCTACATTAAAGTTCTATTTAATAATACAGAACTGAAGGGATACACAGTCCTTGACTTCCGTCAACTGCCCATTCAAAAAATTCGATCTAGGTGGTTTTGTGAGCACTAGTTTTGAATTAGATTGGGTGTGTTTAAACTAGACTGTTACAACTAAGAAAAGATTGAGATCCAAGGAAGTCACAAAATAAGTCAGAAGGCAACAGTTCCAAAGGATGTTAGTAATTGGATTAATAACACATCCTCCACTTTTTAAACTGTGTTATAGTAATCAAATCTTGGGAAAGAAATCAAAATGAACTGTACAGATCAATTTAGTAAACAACTGTCTATGGAAGTGAAAGTATGGGTATCAGGTGGAAACTTGATCACCAAGCACCACACCAAGTAAATCACTCAGGTGACAACAGTTCCTCAGTGCAAGGTACTACCTATGTGGTCCATTGGGAAAATTTTAACCCCATGTATAAATAGTGATAGAGGTCTGGTGACCATCACCGCATTACAGTTTGTCAAAACAAAGAATAATTTAATTTGGGTATGGTCAAAGTGAGCAGAAATGGTGGAGGGGGCAAGAAACAAAGCAGATCAAACCTACATCAATCAAAAATCATTAAAGTGATACTTTGTGCTAAACTGAGAATGGATTAGCTGAATGCACAAGTGCTCTGTTAGATTAAGCCATTTTAACCTTAATGAAGGATACAATGACGATAAAGGCCCCAAAGTGAATAGAATTTCTTGAATTAAATTCCACTAAAGCAACCTTCTTTTTGGGCATTTTGAAATACATGGTAGATCTTCTTTCTCACCACATCATGGGGAATTTTTGGTGGAGCAAAGACTTGTTGAACATAATATAAAACAGAAAGAGGCACTGGAAAAAATGCAGTAATGATTTCCAGGAATAATGGGAGTGAGAAATTTTAAACCACAGTGACAAAGTAAATGGAGCTTTCTTCTCTAGAAATGGTGGTTGTGTTGGTTCTCTCAGAACATTTTGATATTATAAAGAGTACCAAAGGATACAAAGATAGTGTTAGTAGTAATTAATAAATCCAACACAAGGAACTTAAGTGAAGCTTCTTTACCCAGAGAGTGAAATAGTACACAGAATTACTGCAATTAGGTGAAAGCTGGCAAAATAACATGAGGGAGGTAAATATAAATGGAAAGTGAAGAGTCTTTGATGAAGCAGGTTGCAAGAAGCACAAACAGTGGCATTGACCAGTTGACTAAAATGTGTTGCATAATATTTCCAGCATAGAAACACAAGGGCCTTTTCTCTCCATATTTGACATTTTGATGAAGGACAAGGAATAATCAAATGCAAAAACAAAATTGAGCCATTCCGTGGAATACAGTAATTCTACAATAAAGCTGCATTACCTGATGATACTTATACACAAGTTACAAACAGATTTCCTCAAAAGTAAGAACTGTACCTCAGTCGCACAGCAGTAACAACACCAACTATACATCTTGATCCAAGTTCCAAGAACATGTCACACTGATCTAACAATTCCCAGGCACAGCATATAAGCTGAATAAATTTATTACTATATGTCCATATACTGAGCAGGGGCAGGAAATGATACCACCATTGGTAGGATGCAGGAGGAATGCATTCCAGATGTGTAGAATTAAAAATAAGAGATAAAACTGTTTTTCAAGTCAAAATAATTCAGAGCTACCAACTGCTTATTCCAGTTTCTACTTCCTACATGCTGACAAGAGTGGGCTCATCTCATTTGTCATCTAATAATGCCATGGCAGTGCCACAGGCAGATCATAAAAACCCAGTGTGACTCAGATGCTCAGCAATTCCAGTATGTGTTATCACTTCTTTTTAACTAGCTTGTGACACTGAGGCAAGTAAGTAAAACTCTTTTACTGGTGCATTATTGATACACACAGAATACTGTACTATAACAAAGCTTTAAAAAACAAAATCAAACAAGTAATGCAGCTTCAATCTCTATATCATCTTCACGCTGTAGCATCCAATTCCTGGGATTTGTGAATGGTTTCTGTTTCCATGGGCTCGCCTTTGCCTCCTTCATCTAGGTTCTCCTTATTTGCTTCTTCCTCTGTTATCACCACAGCAGCTTCCTTTTCAGATTGTGTTTTGAGTACCTCTTTCTGCTAAAATATAGTCGTGGTTATAAAATACTTTAAGAGAAAATTATAATTATAGTTTTATTTTAGTGCCAGATGCTGCCAGTTGCACTCAGCCCACACTGCAATGCCTGGTGCATGTGGGGATTCTCCCACCAAAACGGTGGATGCGTGCCATTTTGATATCTGCCAGTTTAATACTGCAACTATAACCGCACAAATAGAATGTCAACTATCAAGTTTTAAAGATGGCTTTTCTTCTGACCTGGAGTATTCTCATTTGAAAATGATTTCTTCCAACTTTAACAGCACAACTGCATCATCACATTCGCTTTGAAATTTACTGAGCAATTAAAATCTTACTGTTTTGGAGAAACCAAAATGGCATGTGAAATAATACATTTGTAGAATGCACAAAGTTTTACAAAATTAGAAAGGTGATGTATAGAGATGGTCTATGCAGCTCAGTCAGCTGCGTTGGTGGAAAATTAGATTCATAATTTCAAGTTAATACTTTCCAGATGGATTTTTATTTTTCCTTCACATCTACTTTTGTTTTAATTTTCTATGAAGCCAAACAGAATGACACTGACCATTGTCTGCACATGCACTTGGTGTTATATGAACAGACACAGGTAAAATCTTTAAGAACATTGATAGGAAGTTTAAATATTACATGGTTTTTGAAAGCTTTAGTTGTTGACTGCTGACAAGACTGCTTTGCAGGAAAAGATTGCTTTATAGCTGCATTTTACAGCTCCATTTCCGCATTTCTTTTTGCCTTCTGGGGTGAAAATCCAGACAGTTCTTAATATCCAATTGACCATTTTTATATGATTGAATTCAGCGTTAAGTATCTGGTGTGCATATCATAGTAGAGCCCAGTTCTGACCTCTCTGTGCACCAACAAACATCTAGTCCCAAGCGTTGTGGGGGGTAGTAATATCACTGAACCGCATTCAGGATTGGGAACTCGGGCTCAATTTGCTTCACTGCACATGGAAACCAACTGATGCAACTAAGCCAAAGGATTTAATAACTTAGTATTCACCAAGGATTTAACGTGCAACTTTTTGGTCAAGACGGTTCACTATAAACAGCACCAGGTATGGGGGTGAAGGGGACACAGTACAGCAAGACCTCAAGATTCAAATGAGCAAGGAGGGGAGACAGAGTGGTCTACTATTTAGGGTTCAGAGAGAAAAAAAATCAAATTATGACATCATAGAGAAACAGGCAAGTGAATGGTTGGTGAGTATTTTTCAAATCACGTGCAACTTACAAAATACTGTAAAACTTTAGTGATAAGATTTACTTGAAGTAAAGCTTATTGAGGGGAACAATTCCTGTACAAGCATCTGATAGATAAAAAGCAATAACATTTTTATTCACAATAATTAGGTAGTTGGTATTAGAGTTGGGCTCATAATTACGGGCAAAATGTGAAGTATTAGTGCAATTAATCAGTATTTGTAAGCTTTATTAATAACAGCAATGCATATTATTAATGTGAAGTTATTCTTTTATTGGCAGGTTTAATTAATGAAAAAACGATAGGGCTATTCCAACCTCATGAAAGCTAATCGTCATTCCGTGCAGTGACATAACCCCAGGTGTAGGAAGTGTTGTTCTGTTGCATCAGCCTAAGCTCTAGGTTTCGGAGCTGGAGCAGCAGTTGGCATCACATGGAACATCCATGAGGTTAACAGCTACACGGCAGGGCATTTGTGTGACCAACAAGCCAGTAATACAGGAATCCTCTAAACATATTTCATTTCCCACCCAATGTTTAGCTTCACAGACTGCCAAAAGTGATGTTACATCTCGTGAGTGTCTAATCACATCCACGTAACTTGCTGGAGCTTTCTGAAATGCTGAGAGGGTGATGAGGGAAAAGCTGGTGACATCGTGCACATGGACTTCCAAAATGCATCTGAGCAGAGCTACTCAACAGACTTGACAACAAAGTTCTAGCTCATGGAATAAGAGGACTGTGGTAACAGTCTGAGGGATGGGAAACAGAGAAATGTTTAATGTGTATTACTTGGACTGCAGAAAGGTTGGTATTGGAGCTCTCTAGGGACAGTATTGGGACTCTTGTTGTGCAGGGTACAATTTCAAAGTTTGCAGACAAAAAATCTGGCAGAATTGTAAACTGTGGAAACACTGCAGAGTCATAAGGGCATTGACACATTGTTGGAATGGGTGGATAGGGAGTAGATGAGGGTCAGATGTAGAGAAAAGTATAATGCAAAGAACATGGATGGTGAACATAAACTACAGGCTATTATTCTAGGCAAATGTGCACAAGCAGACAGACCCGAGTATATAAATACACAGGTCATTAAAAAGCAGAACAGGTACAAAGTACTGTTAATAACGCAACAGTATTCTAGGCAACAGTATTCTAAAGTACGAGGAGGAAGTTACGCTGAACTTAAATATAGGATACTGGTTGGACCTCAGCTGAGGATACAGTATAGTTCTGGATGCCACAGTACTGGAAGATTTTGAATGCACTGAATAGCATGCAAAAATAGTTCGAGAGAATAATTATACAGCCAAGGTACTTTAATTTTCAGTGAGGAGAGGAAGACACAGAGATATGCAGCCATTAGATTCTTGTGATATTGAGATTTGATGGGTGCTGAACCTGTAAGAGGCCAGAAAGTATGCATCTTCCTAAGTCTCAGTTCTTGGCAGGACCTTTGTGCCTGTGTCATTGAGGAGAGTTTAAACTGCAATGGCAGGAGTGTTCCAACCAACAGATAACATCAAAGTGCAACTGTGTGTATGCAACTAGCTAATAAACAAAATCATGCTATATTTCATTAAACAGATGGACCTCAGAAATTAACATAACTGGACAAGAAGCTGCTCAACTTCCGAATGCATATGATTTTAGGACATCTGATCAACAAACATAAGGGAAAGTACAACGTAATGAAGGTCTATAAACACTGACCGAAGAAGTAGTTGTAGAATACTTTGCATCAGTCTTCACAGAAGAAAACACTAAAAGCATTCCAAAATTAAATATTCAAGGGACAAAAAGGAGCAAACTGGAATAAATACAACTAGATCTAAAGAAAAAGTGCTAGATAAGGTAATGCGGTGGGTGGGGGAGTGGCTTAAGTTCCCTGGATCTAATGGGATGCCTCCTAGAATGTTATAAGGAGGTACTCACTAGAGATAGTGGATGGACTGGTAGTAATCTTACATGAATCCTTAGATTCTGGAAAAGTGCCAGAGGATTGGAAAATCTGGCAATGTAACAAAAACTGAAAGAACTGCAGATCTGTAAATCAGAAACAAAAACAAAAAGTTGCTGGAAAAGCTCAGCAGGTCTGGCAGCATCTATGAAGGAAAAAAAAAGTTAACGTTTTGGGGGTCTGGTGATTCTTCCTCAGAAGAGTCACTGGATCCGAAACGTTAACTCTGTTTTTTCTTCACAGATACTGCCAGACCTGCTGAGCTTTTCCAGCAACTTTGTTTGTGGCAATGTAACAACCTTTATTTCGAAAAGGAGACAAAAAAAAAAGGTCTCTACTAAGAAGGTTGCTTAATGTCTGTTATTGGGAAAATGTTCCAGTTTGTTATAAGGGAGTTAAAACAAAAGCATTTAGAAATGTATAATACAAACAAGCATAGTCAGTGTGGCTTCTTGGAGGTCAAGTCATGGCTGACAAATTTATTGGAATTCTTTTAAGGTGGTAACAAGCAGGATAATAAGAGCGAAGTAATGGACGTTCCTTATTTAGATTTTTAAGTTGTTGTTTGATAGGGTGCATTACACTACTTAAAAAGACAAGAGCCTACGGTGTTGGAGGTAGTACATTAACAGGAATAGAGGACTGACTAACAAATGGAAGACAGAGATGGGATAAGGGGGCCATTTTCAGGATGGTGACCTGTAGCTAGTGGTCTGCCACACAGATCAATCCTGGGCCATAATTATTTACAACATGTATTAATGATTTGGATGAGGAAAGTGAAAGTACTTCAGGCAAATTTGCAGATGACAAAAATAGGCAGGTAGACAAGTGGTGAAGATGAGTAGTCTGCAATGGGAGATAGACGGGTGAAGTGACTGGACAAGAACTTGGCGAACAGAATGTAGGGTAATGAGAGGTTATGCAGTTTGGCAGAAAAAAAGAGCTGATCATTTAAATGGAGTAAGATTGCAGAAAGCTATGGAACAAAGTCCTCATCCATGAATAACAAAAAGCTAGCATTCAGAGGGTAATAGGAAGGCAAATGGAATGTTGGATAACAAGGTGTAGAGCTGGATGAACACAGCAGGCCAAGCAGCATCAGAGGAGCAGGAAGGCTGATGTTTCGGGCCTAGTCCCTTCTTCAGAAATGGGGTTGGGGAAGGGGATTCTGAAATAAATAGGGAGAGAGGGGAGGTGGATAGAAGATGGATAAAGGAGAAGATATGTGGAGAGGAGACAGACAAGTCAAAGAGGTGGGGGTGGAGCCAGTAAAGGTGAGTGTAGGTGGGGAGTTAGGGAGGGGATAGGTCAGTCCAGGGAGGACGGACAGGTCAAGGGGGTGGGATGAGGCTAGTAGGTAGGGGATGGGGGTGTGGCTTGAGGTGGGAGGAAGGACAGGTTAGGGAGGTAGGGACAAGCTGGGCTGGTTTTGGGATGTGGTCAGGGAAGGGGAGAAACTACCTACACTCACCTTTACTGGCTCCAACCCAGTCTCTTTGACCGGTCTGTCTCCTCTCCACCTATCTTCTCTTTTATCCATCTTCTATCCGCCTCCCCCTCTCTCCCTAGTTATTTCAGAATCCCCTTCCCCAACCCCATTTCTGAAGAAGGGTGTAGGCCCGAAACGTCAGCTTTCCTGCTCCTCTGATGCTGCTTGGCCTGCTGTGTTCATCCAGCTCTACACCTTGTTATCTCAGATTCTCCAGCATCTGCAGTTCCTACTATCTCTGAAACAAATGGAATGTTGGCTTTTATTTCAAAAGGGGAGGGGAGTACAAAACAGGTTTTGCTAAAAAACAGTACAAGGTACTAGTCAGAGCACAGCTGGAATACTGTGAAAAGTTTTGGTCCTCTTATCCAAGGGAAGATGAACTGTACTAGCAGGTTCACTAGGCTGATATCAGGTATGGAGAGACTGCCTTTTATATTCCAATGAGTACAGGATATATAAGCATGAGGCACTACCTTATAGAAACATTCAAGATCCTTAGGGGACTTGACATGGTACAAATGGACAGGTCGTTTCCCTTGTAGAAGCATCCTGGAACAGACAGCATAATCTGAATCTCATGGTCTCACATTTAAGACAGAGATGAGGAGGAATTTCTTCTCTCTGAGGGCAGTGAATCTGTGGAATTCTTTACCACAGATACTGCTGAGGCTGGGCCAATTTAAGTGAAGGCTGAGATAGGCAAGATTTTTTTGAAATCAGTAATGGAAAGGGAAGAAAAGAAGAGCTAAGCATTATCAAGTCAGCCATGATCTCACTGAATGGTTCAGCAGGCTCAGTGGGACTGATGGTCTACCTTCTGCTCCTGTGTCTTATGATAATTCAACATTTGAGCAGGTAATATATGGTTAATGATCCCAGATTGGGTGAAAAATAACCTTTTCTCTCATCCAGGAGAAGAAATTTGTAACTATTGCTTGCTGATAAATACTAAGCAAGGTTAAGGATGCACTCAATGCTGGATTGCTGATACATTTTTGTGCAAAACTTTATTTCTGTGTTGATAACACAAAAAGTGTATGGAACATAATTAAAATTTTAAAATGATCAACTAAAGAAAATAGAAGTTAACCGCCCATCTCAGGAATCTGCTCCAAGGATCATGTGCATTAGTAATTCCCAAAGTGCACAATACGACAATTATATTTTCTCACTTTCATGTTTAGAAAAATACACAAAAACTTAAAGCAGGGTGCAAACTGAAAGCTGCTTAAGATACCCAACATCAAAATAAAAAGCTATTTCAACTGATAATGCCAAATATTCCACTGGGAAATTAGCTCAGAAACAAATGTCACAAATGGGAGCTTTTTTTTAAAGTTGGATAAGGTTGTTAATTAAATCGGGCAGCCCAGTAATAAACCTGCAAATCTATACTTCAATCAATATATGTATATTAATTACTTGGAATGAGAAAGTCAAATTTGAAAGTTCACAAAGTATCTAGCAAAATAAGCAGAACAAAGAACAGACAACCAGATTCAGAAAGATTTCTAACTAAACCAGCAGGTGGCAGATTCAGAACAATGTGGACGAGCACCAAATGATTATTTATTCCAATACATGTTAAGAAATAGAAATGCATTTAAGAAACAGGAATATATTTGCTGACTGGGAAACAAAATGAATAAAATCAGATAGTAAGCATTTGTTTACCTGAAGCATAAAAGGCAATATCAGATGCGGTTTGGATTTTCAAAGAGTTACAGCACCAAAAAGAAATGTGTTGAATTGTTGTGTAAGGTAGGAGTCAGATCCTATTATTAAAGATTGCAAATGCAACACTGTGATTTGGACTAGTTGTTCACTGTAGTGAAAATGAACAGGTTAAAAATTTAGAAGTTTGGAGTTAGGTGAATCTTCATTCCAGCCAAATGGTGATAATTTGTGTGATATTACTGATAGCCACTGAAGCATACAGCACAAATTAGTTGGAGCATATAAGGGCTTAAGAACAGACTGTTTCTTGGTTTAAATACACTTGCCTGTTTTTAAAAATTTTCCTGTGCTTACCATATTACTTTACCCTTTTAAGGATCAATATTCGTTAACTCCACACTTACCTTACTATCTGTATGTGCAAATTTTGGAAACATTTTAGCATAGATCTTTTTCTCTAAATCCAACTGTTCTCTTATTTTTTTCTGACATATTCCAATCTGGACTTTGGCTGCTTTATTCGGATAAAGTTGCACAAGCTTCTGGAAGTTTTCTTTTGCCAGTTCATAATCGTTCATAGCAAGTCTTGCCTCACCCATTCTGAAAAGGGCCTTTTCATTGTTTGGATCCAACCCTAATGCCTGAAATAAAAAGCAGTAGCTTCAGTTGTTGTCCCAACAAGCAATCCCAAAACCAGACATAGGATCAGCAATAGGTCATTTAGCTTCTTGAGCTTATTCCGTCATTTACTGAAATAATTCAGATCTCTGACCTAACTCCATATATCCACCTCTTCCCCAGAACACCTTTGGTTAGTTTTAAATCTAAGACTGATAGAATTCTTACCAAATATTAGTCTGGCAATGATCATTTGCAGAAGAGAGTTTCAAGTTACTATTATTCTTTGCATGTATAAGTATTTCCAAACTTCACTTCTTAAAGATTTGATCTGAAACTGTGAGACATGGCTTGAGGTTACTGAATCCCCAGCCAGCAGGAAGAGTTTATTTTTATTTACCCTATCAATTTCCCGCAATACCTTAAAATCATTCAACTCATCCTTTTAATTTTCTAAATTCCAAGTTTGTGCAATCTCTTCTTGAGAACTCTTCAAATCCAGTTATTGTTCTGATAAATCTACACCATACTTGCACACCTTCCTCAGATAATGTTGCCTAGAACTATACAAGCTCCAGGTGTAGTCTAACCAGAACTTTGTACAGTTACTTTAGGACCTGTAATCCCTATTTGTCCCCTAGGTATGAATGCAGCATTCATTTTTCCATTCTGATTAATTTTTCCACCAGTTCATTCCACTTTAGCAGTCTACATACTTGGATTCTCAAGATACATTGAATGTCCAAAGCTTGTAGCTTTTCATATTTAGAGAGTACTCAGTCTCTTTTTTTTGGGCTAAAGAAAACAATAGCACACTTGCCTACACCAATTCATCTGCCACAGTTCTGCTCTCCCATTTAATCAAGCATTATCTCTTTGTATATGCTTGCACCTATACTGCTTATACGTAATACCACACATCAGTGTCTCATTGCAAATTTGACTACAACTGTTTAATCCCAATGGACTAAATCGTTAATAAGCATACCGAACAGTTCAGATTCTCACCAGAAATTGGGTTGGGACATTCTTAATCACATATACCATGCGTTACAAGCTCTCGTGACACTATAACTGCAAGTTAAAGTAAATTGACATTGTTAAGTTATGGACAGGTTTGTTGGAATACCTGGATCATCTAAATGCCATATATACAGTAAACCTTACAAATCCCCCTCCTGAGTTCATGTAAGACAATAACAGATAGGATCTCCATGGTTACCCTCCAGTATCAAGGTATCAACATACAAAGGAACAGGAGCAGACCAATCTGCCCGCCATTTTCCCATACTACCTCCATATCCTTGAATGCCGATTGATTTCTGTTTTGAGCCTGTTCAAAGATGGAGTTTCCAGTGCTTCTAGCATAGAGAATTCCAAAGATTCCACACCCTCGAAGTGAAGAAATTCCTCAACTTAGTCTCAAAAGACCTGTTCCTTACCCTGAAATTAAGTTCCTAGTTTTCATGTCACCAGCCAGGGGATACACCCCATCTACAGCTACCCTGACATACACTGAAGTATTTTTTAAATTTCAAGGAGATCACCCCTTATTCTTCAAAACTCCAAAATATAAGCCCAGTTTCCTCACTCTATTCAAAAAATTCTGCCATCCAAAGGGATTGACCATAAATGAAACATCAAATTGAAATCCTGTACCACTTATAGTTGGTTTTCACGGAGGTGACGTAAAGAAGTGTCCTCACCTTTTCACAATTCTCTACAGCTTGCACGTTCTCATCCATTTTTATGTAGCACATAGCAAGGTTGAGATGAGCTGCTAGTCTCAGAGCATTGGATTGTTTTAGGTTTTCTTCAGACAATCCACTCTCATGTTCCAGCCAAGACACAATTTTCTTGTAATGGATGGTGGCCTGCTTGTACTTTCCCACCTGACAATTATAAAATTATAAAGTTACACAAATTATGCAGATACAAGGCAAGAAAGAACACAGGTTATTTTCAATACCTAGGGACTGTAGGATTAAATCAACTCTTCTCTCTGTTCCATGCATCATATTGTTGCCAGTCCTTAGATAAAATTTCTACATTCCATAATTAGAAACTCACTAACAGATGACAGCTATTAAATCGCTTGTAATGTACTAACACGTTATACTGCACATGGAAATGAAAAAGGATGTCTATGCCAAGCATTAATATCGTTTTCTTTAGTGCTCATGCCCATACAAGTTCTGAAGCATCAACCTGAAAAGTTTTTTCACTCACATTGCTAATAGACATATTTAGTTAGTTAATCAGGCATCTATTTTAGTGTCATTAATAAATTGTATCAGACCTGAGATCACATACAATTTTTTTGTGCACAAAATCTTATTTCACATGGTCATGATTTTCAATCACTACTTTTAAAATGTGTTATAATAAATGTTTGCACTAGTTTTCAATTAAATGGGTTTTACAAATATAAAAGTTTAAGTTTGTTGTAAAAACCAAAAGAACTGCAGATGCTGTACCAGTTGAGAGGGAGGGTCACTGGACCCGAAATGTTAACTCTGATTTTCTCTTCACAGATGCTGCCAGACCTGCTGAGCTTTTCCAGCAACTTTGTTTTTGTTTAACTTTGTTGTGTTTTGGGACTCTCTCTTTGATTTAGGGTAAAATTGAGGAATGAGTGAGACCTTGTGACCTGGCATGGATCCTGCCTAACAAGCTTTGGCGGTTTGGTTGCTGAAATAGGTTTCTCTTAATGGGAAGATGATGCAAGGTGTTTATACCTACAATGAATGGCAAGAAAATCTAGGATGGCTCCATTTTGCACAGGAAGGTGTTAGCAATGTCAAATTTTCTAGGCAATTATAGTTAAATTGTCTATTTAATTCTGAGATAGAGTGAAGTAGGGGGTTCTAGAGGACAGTTATTTGGCAGTTCTAGCTAAATTCAAGACCGATGTATTCGCATTGCCATGGTGATGGACTAGGAGACAAAAAGTCCACTGTAAGCCAGAGTAATATCTCAGGATTTTCTGTGAAAACAGAAGGACAGACAGTCTCCATTGCTCACAATGGGACTGGGACTCACAATCTGTGACTAAAGAGATCAAGTTTGTGAGGATTTAAAATAAGGCTGGAAGATTTACCTTGCTTTAGCTAGAAAGAGGAATCTCCTGGGTAACCCTCAATTGGAAAGCGAGTTTCAAAATTAGAAGTTAACAGGCTGGGAGAAAAAAAGAACGCTACCAGAAGCTGAGAAAGTTTACAGAGGTTCTTGGAGAACCAAGTGTCTACTCAGACAGAGAGGAAGCAAAACTGTGAAGGGGGATTTCAAATTGCTTTGAGTTAAATGGGAATTTGTTTTCTGTAGATTAGAGTATATAGAATGTCTTCTGAAATGGTGTTTAGTTAATGTTGCTTTTAGGTCACGTTAAAAGTAAAATCTTGAAATCTGAAATCTTGAGCGCTCCTATCAGTCGCTGAAAATTCAACATCTTTCTAAAAGGTTAATGGTCTCTCCATGAATCATAGCAAGGCACTAAATAAAATGAACATTAATCGGATGATAATTATGATCTCATTACAGACCAGTAGCACGTTCGAATTTGAGACGTCAGGTGTTTACTAATAGAATAAAACTACCGGGTTTATGGCCCTCTGGGGTTGGTATTGGGTCCTTTAGCTCTTCTTGATGCACATTAATGACTAGATCTTCGGTGTACAGGGTACAGTTTCAAGAGGTGCAGCTGAGATAAAATATGGAAGCATTGTGAACTGACAAGGAGAGAGCAAAACCTCAAAAGAGCATAGATAAGTTCATGAAATTGGGGGACAGGGCTAGGGAACAAGTGGCAGATGAAATTTAATACAGAAAAGTATGAAGTGATTCAGTTTGGCAGCAAGAATGCAGAGAGACAATGTATGATTTATCAGCAAACTGTAAAGGGGATGGAAGTCCCTCTGCTCTTCGGTGTGCATATATGCATAAATCATAAAAGCAAGATAGGTCAAGAACAAGGTCAGAAGTGACTTCACCTGACAAAGGAGCAGCACTCCAAAAGCTTGTGATTTCAAATAAACCTGTTGGACTATAACGTGGTGTCATGTGTGACTTCTGAGCTTGTCCACCCTGGTCCAGCACTGGCACCTTCACATTACGGCTAGGTCAATAACGGTTATGGTTAATAATGCACACAGAATTCTAAGCCTTATTATGAGGACCACAGATTATAAAAAGGGATGGGATATTAAATTTTCATAGAATACAGGTTTAGTCTCAACTGTTATAGTTTGTCTAGTTCTGGGTACAACACGTTAGAAAAGAGTCAGTGAAAAAAAAAGATTCTCTAGAATGACCCCACGGAAGAACTTCAATTCCACAGATAGTTTGGAAAAACGGGGAATATTTTTCAGAAGATTGAGAGATCTAATACAGACATTCTAAATTATGAGGGGCTTGGACAGAATAGATAGGGAAAGCTTCTCACTTGTGAAACGTTCCACAACAAGATGATTTAAAGTAATTGACAAAAGAAGCAAATGCAATAGAGTAAAATATTTCATGCAGACAGCAGTTGGGATTTCTCCACTGGTCTTAATGGAGGGATGGATTAGAACGTACCCTGAAGCAGGTTGGTAAAGGATTCCTCCACAAAGTAAGAAGTAAAAAAGATGAACAGGGTGTTTACAAGTTGGCAGGCTGTATCTAGTGGGGTACCACTAAGATCAATGTTGGGGCCTAAACTATTTATAATCTGTATTAATGACTTGGTGACTTTTGGTCTCTTCATCCAAGTATCTAAGTTTGTTGATTCATAAGCCGAAAGGACAGAAAAAGGCTGTAAAGAGACAGAGACTGGTTAAGTGAGTGGGCAACAAGGTGGCAGGTGACATACTGTTTAGGGAAGCATGAATTTATTCACTTTGATAATCGGAATAGAAAAGCAGATTATTTTAAAAGGTGTGAAAGTTGTGAAATGTCAATGTTCAGACGGAGTTGGGTATACTGGTACAAGGAACAAAAATGTTGCCATGCAGTTACAGCACAGAATTAAGAAAGCAAACGGTTTTTATCGTAAGGGAACTGGAGTATAAATGTAAGGAAGTCTTTATTACACTTGCATAGGGCTTTGAACAGATGATAGCTGGAATACTGTACGGTTTGTTCAAATGTTTTATTTTGAGAAAGGCTGTCCATGCATTAGAGTTAGCACAACAAAGGTTCACTCCATCTACTCCATGGTAATTTCTTGTTATAAAACAACCGTGACTAAGCTGAACCTACACTCTAGAGGTTAGAAGAATAGTATTCACCAACCCAGAGAATTGCAGATGTTCCATTGTTAAAATATATTTTGGGTAGAGAAAGAGATTGTTGATTCATCGGGGAATCACAAGACAGTGTGTGCAGATATGGAGTTGAAACAGAATATTATCTGTGATCATGCTGAATGGTATAGCAGGCTTAATTCAGAGTACTGTCTATTCCAGCTCCTTACATTTGGTCAAATCATCCCACAAACTCTAAATTTTCTTGCACAGATCTTCACCTCGATGTCACAAATAGGCTGGGGGAAAAGACTGTACTTTCAGTTGTAAAAGGGTTATTAGTTGAAGTATGACCACTGCAATTGCACCACAGTTATAAACATGAGACTATATCTACAGGGAATCCTATTAAAGGCCTGCGAGTAACAACTGCTCTGTTAATAGCTCAGATCAAGAACTCAAGATATGGGTAATGATTGTGAGAAAACCTGAAAGGGCCAGTTTATGTTCAGTAGCATTTCTTTTCAAAGTTCTGGGCGAAACCTGCACACTATAATCCAGCAAATATAAAGAATCTGACAGGAAAACCTGTTTAGTTGTGATTGTGTTACCTTGAAATACAATGTCCCCTTCTCTTTAACAATAGCAGACTGTTCCAATTTCTCACCTATGTTCATCTCCCAAGACTCTTTAGCCTGATAAAATGTAAAAAAAAAAAAAGTTTACAAATGACAACAGGGTAATCAGTCATAGACTTGCTTCAAATAGAATGAGGTATGGAAAGGAAAATAAATCAGGATTTCAGTTTTTTGGCAGTTATCCAGTAATCTTTGCTAGAAATGCACAAACATCAACTTTAAGCAAGAACAAAAATAATATTGATAGCCTAACACAGTTTAAGAAGTGAACATTGACCATCCAGCACCATGAAACCCCAACCACCAGCTTGCTCAGAATTAGTTGAATGCTTTCGAGGATGGTTGTCTCCAAACTTTCCACAATATAGAGCTTCTAGTGAATCATTTTCTTAACCTTGGCTCCCCAGAAGAACCTTGCTGTTACAATCTAGAATTAACTTGATCATCACGTCAGTTACAGTGCCTGACTCGAGTTCCAAAACATCTTCAGGTTTGTAACAGGCAATCATTAATCTGGTCCTTTCTTACCTTTTCAAAGTTTTTCAATACAATTTCATACACCAGGTTTGCACTTGGAGGAATATTCAATTTTGGATTTCCTGCTTCTCCAAATCCGTACCTATATGAACAACACTGAGTCAAAACAATATTTGAAACAATCACCTATAAATCTGTTATTTTCTTTGTAAATACCTTTTATCTTTACATTTCACCCATCTCATCCTTATTTTCCATAAAATAACATTTAAATTGTCAAAATTACAGCTCTACATTCTTCTACTCAGCTTGGATAATAATTCCAGTTTCAACGTATCAACACCCTTTTAAACAAAACACTATCAAGGCACATAACATTTACACAGCATTATGGCTGTATTTATTGATTTGTTCATCAAATGGAACCATAATGTAAATATGTTCAATTCTTTATAACCAGTTTCTTCAAATGTCTTACAGATCCAATAAATTTATTAATCTTCAATGAGATGCTGGGCAAGGTGACATCTCAATAATAGCACCTTTAGGGCACACATTGTAGCTGGCATGTCTCCAATTTTCTGAACTTTTTGTTATCCTGCAGCCACTCAAAAGGTTTTGAGATAACAAGGTGTAGAGATGGATGAACACAGCAGGCCAAGCAGCATCTAGGTGCAGGAAGGCCGACGTTTCGGGCCTAGACCCTTCATCAGAAATGGGGCATTCTCGACCACTGAGGGGGGCGGGGAGTTGCGGTCCTTGAAAAACGAGGACATGAGATGTACGGGAGTGGAATGCCTCATCCTGGGAGCAGATGCGGCGGAGGCGAAGGAATTGGGAATAGGGGATGGCATTTTTGCAGGGAGGTGGGTGGGAGGTGTATTCTAGGTAGCTGTGGGAGTCGGTGGGCTTGAAATGGATATCGGTTTCTAGGTGGTTGCCCGAGATGGAGACAGAGAGGTCCAGGAAGGTGAGAGAGGTATTAGAGATGGTCCAGGTGAACTTAAGGTTGGGGTGGAAGGGTCTAGGCCCAAAACGTCAGCCTTCCTGCTCCTATGATGCTGCTTGGCCTGCTGTGTTCATCCAGCTCTACACCTTGTTATCTCGGATTCTCCAGCATCTGCAGTTCCTACTATCTCTGACTCAAAAGGTTTTACCTGGATATCCCCCAACTTCAATTTTGTCAAGTATCCTCAATGCCATGCTGTGTCAAATGTTGCCTTGATGTTGAAGGCAGTTATTTGTGCTACCAACTACAGTTATAGTAGCATATTTTCATGTATCACTGAACTAGCAATCCAGAGATACAAGCCAAATTCCGTGGGAATTTAAATTCAATTCACCAAATAAATTAACTAAGGCCTGCAAAACTGTGGCTGACTCATCTGTTCACTAACAAGTGACCTAGCAAGTCCATTAGTTCCTTAAAATCACTACAGAAAAAAGAAACCTTAACAAGAATACAACTGAAGGACTACCTAACATCAACACTAACACTGGGCATGACATATTTTGGTTGACCCTGCAAACTACTGAATTACATCTAAAGAATTGTGCCAAAATTAGGAAGATTGTCCTGTAATAGCAAAACATTTATGCTCACCTAATGATATCTTATAGCCAATATTCTGACTCCATCATTGTCCCTGTATACATCCTGTCCCACTGACAGATCCATTAGTGATGATGGCACAGTAACTGGCTCAGAGTACTCAGCATTAAACTACACGGAGTCCAGACTCAATGGCCAAAGAAACTTGGAATTGATTACCACTCATCATTCTCCAACAATTTCTTGTAGGCCTCCACATTAAACTCCACTTGAGAAAGCCACTGAAGATAGCAAGGAAACTGTATATTCTGGCTAATGTATATTCATCAGCAAAAGTTGATAGTGACAGGTTCACTATTGACTAACTGGCTAAATCTGAAGGTTAATTCTCAGATGATGCCTGCAGCAGGTAGAAAGACAGCAAACATGAGAAAAAAAAACAAACTACACTTTGTCCTTAATAAATTTACGTATAGGTCAATAACAATATTGGTAGAGTTATCCCTGTACAGTCCTTATGGAAGGAATGAGATGTGAACCTCCAGCATGGTGCTAAACAGCACTAATTCAGAACAGATCTTTCAATTAAAAAATGAGATGTTGTTAGTCAGAGCTATATTATGCAATAACCTGTAAACTACTGGCACATTTCTTATTAGACCATCACCATTAAGTAGGATTAAACCTGTTTCAATCATCATCAAGATAGAAATCAATGCTAGGAACAACACGAAGTATGCCGAAAAGCAAAATGACAACTTGGTAAACTACAAGACAGCATGCTTGCTAAAGTGGGCTAGCAGCATGTTAGAGCTATACAAGTCCAAAACCAGAAGATCTGATCAAAGGTCTCTGGTTGCTATTTCTGGTCATAGATGATAGTAAACAATTAAGCATCTAATGAAAGGATGAGGCTCCATGAACAGCATCAACGATGACACATTCCAACCAGTTGTGTGCAAAAGGCTCCAAGTATTTCAGTCTCCTGTTGACAAATCCCACCATCATAATGTCAATCTTCAAGAAATTTCATCTCTTCACATGGTTGTCGAGAAATTGATGGGCACAAATCATATTGAAGTTGACCCAGACAATATTCCAGCTATAATGCATCAGGCTCTAGCCGAGCTATTCTAGTGCAGTTGCATCATTTGCTTCTAGCAGATAAAATGGAAAACTGTAGGCAGAGTAGGCCAGGCAAACAAGCTGTCCAAACACCACTCCAGTACACCCTTGATCAACAAAGAAATGCGAGATATTATTCAAGTGCTGTCACATAGCACTTACTCACCAATCCTCAAATTTTCTCCAATCTGAACTGGTGCTCCAGACATTGTATCTCTATTTATTTAGTGACACTAATTGTATACTGACAATCAATATTTCCCTCTTTCACTCCTCTTAAATAGCAAATGTACTGTTCTGCATGCTTTTGCACCATCTGGCATCATCAGCAAATTAAAGTCATTGAAACTGTCTCTTATCCTGATAGTCTTCTCAGCAACTTTTTTTTCAGTCTTCCTTCAACCTAAAAACTCAACAGGTTATTAAAACCACCTGGGGTCACCACATTAATTTATCGGATTTACTTTGCCTGCTCTCCTATCTCTTTCTATGTCGAGAGACCAATCTTGGCTTCTTACAATGGTTTTCCAATAAAACCGTTCAGTTACTGTTTTGGGCAGGATAGCAAGTAAATGCTATATTTAAACTTACTTTGGTTTTAGCGATATAATAGCCTCTTCTCCCTTTTCCATTTCTTGCAATGCCTTCTCAATTCCTGATGGAACATCATGTTCTTCACCATCTCCAATAATAAATGATAGATCTCGACTATCGAAGACAGTACCCTTATATTTGCCTTCCAGATGTACTGAAATAAAGAAGAGATAGCAACTATTTAAAATATTGAATGAGCATTGGTCCAAAACAGAGATACCCAAGCAGCTCCACTGCTTTACAAGATATTTCACATTTTGCTTCATTCTGGTGATCTGTACTCAAATGTAATTCATTCAAGTTGGAGTTCAGTTCTAACAACTGATTAAAACATAATTCATTTTTAAAAAATCCTTCCCATGTTTGCAAAGTGTTGGTTTTTTCAATACATCTGTCTACCAAAACATGCATGAATGCAATGATCTGAAAGCATTTTATACATAGGTGGCACAGTCAGCAAGAAATTAAATAACCAAAAATGTTAGATTGACTAATACAAAAATAAACAACCATTCGTACACAGAAAATCTATGAAGCTGCTGGCTGAGCAATGATTTTATTTGCAGTGAAAAGGTATTTTTATACTTAAAACAAACCATTTGGGTGTAACTGTGGTGCATAATAAGTAATGAGAGTTTCAAAAAAAATGAAAGGGATATTTAAACAAAAGCTTTATACAAAAAAAAGTGCTAAAGGACAACGTGAACAGGTTAGAGTCAATTGCAAGACCACAAGGATGGGAACTCAACACCGAGGGGTATTTAATATTTAGGAAGGACAGACAGAAAGTGAAAGGAGGCAGGACAACTTTGTTAGGAAAGCATAATTAGTGCAATAATGAGCAAGAGAGAGGAAAGGTGCCTCAACCTGTGGCTTAAGAAAGAAATTAGGTATAGTATTTAGATCTAAAGAGGAAACAAAAAATTGCCAGAAAAAGCAGCAAGACTGAAGACTGGGTACAGTTTAAAATTCAGCAAAAAGAAAGGACAAAAGGTTTGATCATGAGGAACAAATACAGTATGGAAGTAAAATTGCAGGGAACGTAGAAACTGAAAACAAAACCTTCTACTAATCTTACTTTGTGTGTTTATAGAGACAAGTGCAGGTGACCTCCAGCAAGAAGCTGGTGAAATCATAATATGGAATAAAGAAATGGTCAAAGAATTGACAAATTGTTCACAGAAGGAACAAATATCTTGACAGAAATGTTGCAGAACCAAGGGTCTAGTGAGAGGAGTTGAAAGAATTGAAATATTAGCAAGAAAACGTGGAGGGTAAATCAACAGATTAAAACTGATGAAACAGCAGGATCTGCCAATCTATAATGCAGAGTAGTGAAGGAAATGGCCTTGGAAATACTGGAAACATTAGATATCATCTTCCAAAATTCAACAGACTCTGGAAAAGTTCCGATGGCAAATGTAACTCCACTATTTAAAAAAAAGGATAGAAAAGTAAGAGAATACAGACCAATTACCTAACATCAGTAATGGAGAAAATATTGTACTCTGTTGTCAAAGACACAACTGAACATTTGGAAAGCATTAACAGGATTGGACAAAGCCAGCGCGGGTTTATGAAAGAAAATCATGCTTAACAAATCACAGAAACCCTACAGGATGGAAGCAGGCCATTCAGCTGTCAAGTTCACATCGACCCTCAAAATGCTCCAGTAGATGCTTTTTGGAAGATGTAACTAGTAGAACAAATTTCCACTGGATCAGAGACAGTGGGACATTGCAAGTGGATGCTTTGCAAAAAAGATCATATCACCATTTGACGACAACATTTGATTAATCAGGACCTGGACGTTATGACCTTTGAATCGGCATTGGCCAGAGTGGGGCCTGCATGGAATGGCAGATGACGGTGGCAACATGGGCGTGGGGAGCAGCAAGGCTAAGTAAATGACGAAGGATGACTAAGTAAAAGACTGGTGGCAGCAATGCCAGGATGAAGCAGACGGGACTCCACCCCAGCCCAAGGTCTCTCAGCGAGCAAGGCGCAGGTCCCATGCTTAATCCCCAGTCCAGACTTGCAGGTTGAGCCGAAGCTTGAGGTCTGCGGCTAGGCCCGGGTGCCTGATGGCAAAGGCAGGTTTGGCCCCAGTGAAGGACCCCGCAGCACTACCAGCAGCTGCGTCAGCAAGGTTGGCCTAGCGTGAACTCATGGCAGCAGTGACGTTGGAGGTGAGATGGAACCGGACAATGGCAACTCTTTCTTCCAGTGACGGCATGGCGAAGCACAGTTGCAGTAGTGTTGATGGTTTAGCAGCAGGGACTCAAGGCACTGAAGTGGAGGAGCCCGGATAAAGGTCAATGGCTGACCTAGAAGCAGGAACTGTTCAAAAGACCACCTAACTTTATTGAAGTAAGACGAGATTTTTAATTTTTCTGGCATTTTATTCTGTGTTTTGGTTTATTTTATGCTTTAAGATGGTGTCAGAGAGTGATGACACTAAACAACACTTTTCACTGCATTCATAATAAAAACATGTGACAATCAAAAAACATAACGGAAAAGCAGCCGATTGGGGGTATTCAGAATTTCAGTGAATTAGATTTTCAGAAGGCTTTTGCAAAGGTTTTTTTTTGTTACTTGTAGGACTATGGAGTTGCTGTTTGGCCAGCATTTATTGCCTGTCCCGAGCTGCCTTTGAACCGAGTGGCTTGCAGTTGAGAGTCAACAACATTGCTGTGGGTCTGAAATCACATAGAGGCCAGACCAGGGGAGTACAATATATTTCCTACCCTGAGGGAGATTAGTGAGCCACATGGGTTCTTCTGACAATTACAAATGGTTTCATGGTCATCAGTAAATTCTTAATTCTACATTTTTTTGTCTTATTGAACAAATTCAATAATCTGCTGTGCTGGGATTTGAACCCAGGTCACCCGAGCATTGTGTGTTTCTGGAATAATAGTCTAGCAATAATACCATTAGGCCATTCACCTCCTCATTAAGAGTTCAGAGTGCAAAATTAAAGCACATGGCATATAGGCTAATATTTTGGCATGGATCAAGAACTGGTTGACATTTGGGAAACAGATTGGGAATAAATAGGGCTCAACAGAAGAGCTGAAGTCATTAGTGAGTTAAGCATCATTTCACAGATTGAAACAGGTGGCTTAATTGATGACAGAGATATCTGACACGTAGAAGACCCAGCCACCCACAAGACATTAAGGCTGAGTTCAGTGGCTTCAGACTAGTTTACAGATTATTTTAAAATAAAAAAAAATAGAGAAAGTAATGGGACTAACAGATAAATTTCTAGAATCTCTCGGCCCCTGCCCTAAAACATCAAAAGTAGCAGATACAGAAATTACATTTGTATTAGTCAATAATTTTTGAAGTTTTTAACCTTTGTACTTTTTTTAGAAAGTTACAAATTTCACACCATTATTTAGAACGGAAGAGAGGGTTAAATCAGGTAATTTCAGACTGTCACTTAACATTGGTTATGCTGAAATTAGTGTCTCACTATCATAGCATCCCTACCGTGTAAATACAAGCCATTTGGTCCATTGAGGCTGTACCAACCCTCCAAAAGATCATGCCTCCATGCTATCGCCGTAACCCCACATTTAGCTAACCAACTAGTCTGCACAACCCTTGACACAACAGGGCAATTTAGCATGGCCAATCTACCTAACCTGCAGGAAGGAAACCGGAGCACCTGGAGGATACCCAAGGAGACACAGGGAGAGCATGAAAACTCCATACAGCCACTCAAGGAAGGAATCAAAGCTAGGTTCTTGGTGGTGAGAGACTGCACTGGTACCTTATCAGACATCTTCTGAAAATTCAAATATATTTCACCCACTGCTTCATTACCTATTTATCTGTCCTGCTTGTAACCTCCTCAAAAGAATTCTAATAAATTTGTTAGGCATGATTTTCCTTCTGTGAAGGCATGCTTACTCTGTTTGATTATATGATGTATTTTTAAATGCTCCGGTATTATGTCCTTTATAGACTCCAACAATTTCCCAGTAACACGTGTTATAGTTACCTGTTCGTGTCTTTTTTAATTAAAAAAAGCATCACATTGGCATTTTCTACATCTCTGGGACTTGCCCAGAATCTAAGGAGTCTTGGACGATTACTATGAGTGCATCCACTATCTCTGTAACGACTTTATTATCCTAGAATGCATTTCAGCAGGTCCAAACACTTCTTGGTCTTTGGGCCATTAGTTTCCTAGTAATCTAGTCAGTTATTGTACTTATTTCCTCTCCTCAGTTTGCCTCCTGATTATTTAGCATTTTTGGAAAATTATTCAAGTATTCCACTGTGAAGGCTGATGGAAAATATCTGTTTAACTCCTCTGCAATTTCCTGGTTCCCCATTATTTCCCCAGACTCATTCTCTTAAAAGATTATGTTAACTTCAACCTCTCTCTTCCCATATAGAGGCTCTTGCTTTCCACGTTGATAGTACTTGAAAATTTACCTTCAAAGTTTATCTTCTCCCCAATTTTTTGGTTGTCTTTCAATTTTTTAAAAAAAACTTTCATCTGCCATACAACATTATACCTTTTTCTTTCATTTCAATGCTATTCTTAACTTCCTTGGTTAACGATGGTTGTCTTATCCCCTTCGTATACTGTCTCTCTCTTACTGGGATGCATCTATCTTTGTTGAGAGCCATCGTTCCTCAAAAATCTTTGTTGCTGAACTCCCACTCCAGTCCACCCAACTAGCTCTGCCCTCATTCTTTTGTAAGCACCCTTCAGTTTAACAATTATTTTCAACCTAAATTTCTCCCTCCAACTAACTGCCAAATTTTGATCACATTATGGTTGCTGTTTCCTAGGGAATCCTTAACGCTACGATAGTTTATTGAACCTGCCCCATTACTCTTCATCAGATCAAAAAAACTGATACTTGGTTGGATCCACAACATACTGTTTTAGGGAACTGTCCCAAATAAACTATGAATCCTTCCTCTGCTAATCCGAGTATCCCAGTCTACATTTTTCATGTTAACCCATAGCTCTCCCTATCCTGTATTCCTTTTAAAATTGTACCATTAAGTCTATATTGTCTCTCGTCATTTTCCCTACTTCCCTAACAAACCCCAAGTTCATTACCATCATCTCTCCTTCTGAAGTCATGGCCTTCAGTGCTCCACCCCAAGAGTTCCAGGCCTCCTGCCAGTTTGACACCTGCCCTCTCAAGACAGAATTATCGGCTCTTTTTCTCTCTTCCACATTTCTCCTGCACCCATGTTTTTAAACCTTCCATACTCACACATCCCAAAGTTCTAAGATTTCCCCTGGTTAAAAGGTGGCTGACCCAGGGTCAGAATGCAGGTTCTGGAGTGGTCCATGTGCACCACCAAATGAGGTCAGTGTAGGAGCATGACATGACCTTCAGGCGTGGCACCCTCCACCAGGAGATACATACACAGCAGGACTGCTGATATGACTTGCAAATATGCTGGAAATATAAACAGGAGCAAGAAACAAGGGCATAAAGTAGTGTCTTACTTTCAACTGATGCTCCCTCATTGGGTTTAGAGTAACTTTCTCCCTTCTTTCGGATTCGGCGAATAATTCCACCATCTTCATCTTCTGTCAGGTCTTCTGCTTTGATTTCAAAAAGCTCAATCTTAAAAAGTGAAAACAACAGAAGCAATGTAAAATATTATATGCCATGTCGCCTTCATGAAGAATTTATAACAATTCGGAATGCATTACATACTTTAAACACACCTGATCCTCTCTATCATGGATCTGTTTCTTGATGAACGTATGGGGCATTTAGCTACGCACACAATAAAATTCTCATCGTTGATATATTATGGTACTGACAAACCTTACATAGTAGCAGAAATAAATTGCTAGACGATTGACAGTGACCATGAGACAAATGTTTATTTGAGAATCAATATGGCATACATGTATTCTGCCAGTTCAATTTCCCTCAATTACATTGTTATATAATTCAAGATAAGTTAACTTTTATAAATAAAATTACAAATTCAAACAAGAAAATAATTGAAGCTTCAATAATTTGAAACAAATAGATGGGGACAAAGATTTAGATATGATCGCCAATGAAAAGGGAGAGAAGCTTTCTTTTAAAACAAAATTGGGTACCTCAAACACCAGTGTGGCATTGGGTGGAATTTTTGGTGGACTGCCTGCAGAGCCATAAGCATATTCTGGTGTACAGATGATCTGACAGACTTCATTAATCTTCATGGTGGCCACTGCGATATCCCATGCTTTAATAACTTGCCCTGTTCAAAATAAGGAAAAATCAATACTTCAGTCCTGTCATTAACATGCAATTATGTCAACAACAAAAAACAAAGCACCCTCTTGATAAGATTAAGCCATTTTATGTTGCATAGAATTCCACATCAATGCAAGCTGGCTCCCAACTCACTTGTTCCAAAGACTATCATATGTATCTAAAAATCAACTTTCATTGGGAAATCAGAGGGCTCTAACACAATTTGCACTTCCAGACTTCAGCATGAACACTGCCAGATTATGATGACAATACAATGCTGCAAGGGTATCATCTGAATTAGTAAGGACGGCAGAGGGACCTTGTCTCAATCTAGCTTCCAGTGTTTTGAAATCAGTTGTTATTGCTGCCAATTCTTGGCTAATATGAAAAAAAAATTAGCATGACATTTCAAGTATTTCTGAGAACAGCTTATTAGACATTACCAGGTTTTCCACGTGTATAATTTGTGTTAAGTCTTGCTTGGGAGTACTTAAACCTTCCTGCAAATGAAATTATTATTTTACATTGAATGCACTGGTATCTGGGGATACTCAATGTGAAGCTGATACTACATGTGGTTCTAACTCATGCTACAAAATTCTGCATTCAAAGTTCTTACTCCATTTTATCAAAATCTCTTCCAGTAAAAAGTTCAAACGTTCCACAAAATGCTGCATTGCTAAGATGTTATCATCCCCTCAAGAACTTCTTGATCAACTGTACCATTACAGGCTCAATAATGAATACTCTAACCATACTGCACACAGCCTATACCTTGTCTGCAACATATATTGTTTGAAATTTCTGGCAAAAAAACAACATATGAATATTATGCAGACAACCCTCCCACCTAATTCTCCTTGATCTATTTGAAGATGGTACAGCTTCTGCATGATGTAGTTTGGATTAAGAATTGGACAAGATTCAAGATATAACCAAAATCAACAATCATAATTTAAATAGCAAAATCAAAATTGACATAAAATCCCAGCACAGACAGTACAATACCTCCGAAAAGCCATTACATAAAACCTTCTTCCCATAAACTGAAAAGATGCTCACCAAATTTCCAATAAAAACTAAGGGCTCGAGAAACTCAGCAGGTCCAGAAGCACTTGCGGAGAGATCCATTGAGTTCATTGTGGCTGTTCTTTGGAACTTATTTTGATCTGCCCCTCATCTTCATTTTAAACACATGTATATGGGGTTTTCATTTGTGAAATTACAGCAATGGAGCAGAAATGGAGGAACTTGGAACACTTGTTGCTCTAGAGACAGAAAAATTCAAAGAACACAAAGAATCAAAAGAATATTACCTTTGCCAAGGTCAAATGTGAAAGTGTCATCTCGGTCTCTGCTAGAGTCAAATTTAGTTCCATCTAACAGCGTTCCAGTATAATGGACAGAGACCTTGTCACCTGTCATTGGGGTCTCCTCACTAGTGCCATCTTTTTTTATCAGCTGTAAGAAGAAAGGGACAGATTAACAATTCAAAACATTATGATTGAGGGTACAAGTCATCTGAAGTTATAAATTACTGCAAGTTAAAGGTCACTGGAATTTTAAAATGATTTTTATAGGATATGTGGGATATCTGGTTATGGTTTATCTCTTTCTCTATCGTTTTCGTGTATCACATAGGAAGTAGCTTTTAAAGACAACAGTTTTGATTGATTTGAGGTTGCCAAAGGAAGATGTTTATCCTCAGAAACAGAACACTGAAGACTATTGAGTACCCAAAACTAGTGTCTGATCATAACTACACTATCATTTCCAACGCTCTCACAAGCCACAGTTAATTGTGCATTAATTACATTTCTTTTGTGGGCATTAACTGAGTATTCATTGTGCCCCTAAAACTAGATACCAAGGCCAAACTGATTAGAAAGGCAAACTGAAGTTTAAAAAAGTTAGCTTAAGTGCTATCCTTCACCAATTAGCTTTTTGAAGTTATCATATCAAAGTTACTTTCCAAACCCACAACCACTTCCATCTAGAAGGACAAGAGCAGCAGATACATGGGAATACCACCACCTTCAAATTCCCCCTCCAAGCCACTCACCATCCTGGCTTCAAAATATGTCACTGTTCCATCACTGTTGCTGGATCAGAATCCTGGAATTCCCTCCCTAATGGCATTGTGGGTCAACCCACAGCAGGTGGACTGCAGCAGTTCAAGAAGATAGCTCACCACCACCTTCTCAAGGGCAGCTATGGACGGGCAATAAATGCTGGCCAGCCAGCGACGCCTACACCCCACAAATGAATAAAAAGGGATATCTGGTCGGTGCTGACAAGTTAGACCGAGGGGTCTGTTTCCGAGCAGTATATCTCTATGACTTTGACTATACCCCGTAGCCCCATAACCTTGACCTATTTACAATGATTAAAAGAACGCTTGCACTTTGAGCTTTGGATGTTTTTCCCTTTCCTGTTTCTTATAATAGAAGATTAGACATATTCAAAATGACTCTCCCTCATTCTCTTGGAGCAGGAGACTACACACAAGGCCTACAAAAATACTGGAAAAAAAGTTCAATGTAAATTCATCAGGATATTATGAAGGATTAGATTACAGTTACAAATTGTTTTGAGTGGCTTCTCAACTTTAGAAAAAACAATCTTCAAGACCTATAATGGCAGCTAGGGAAGCTGCAATGAGAACACATTAAAAATAAAAAATGAAGCAAAGAAAAGTCACTGAAGCAGTGTGACAAATTTTCTTAACAAAGGCAATTAGATAGGAAAATGAAAGAAAAACAATAGTGAAGTGTAACACATCAATTAAGAGTGACATTACAATAGATGTTTTAAGAAGAACAAATTGGTTTTGACTGGAGAAGATTTTCAGATTCTACAAGGGTGCCTTTTCATCCCAACTTAATAGGGATAACTGAATAATGTAAAGCATACTAAGGATATGAAACTTTGAGTAACACATGGTTATGCAAACTCCAGTGAGGAGAAAATGGCAAGTTTTGTTCCAAATTTGTTCAAGTATATCCCTTCTGTCTGTGATATTTAATTTTGGGACAGTACAAATGGAATTTTAGCTATAACTACCAATGCTCACTACGTTGGTTGAGCACATGGGGAAAACAGGAAATCTGAACTTCAATTTTCAAATTAAAATGTAGGGAAACCAACAGATGTCAAGCTTGTGGCAACTTGTATAATTCTCACTCAACTACCGCAAATTTAACATCACCCGTGTACCAAGTTCTTCCAGATGAACTGGTTTTCAGTATGTTTTATTCTTTCATAAACCACTATTATGCTAAAACGTATTGGTTCATTATGATACAGTAAAATCTTTAGAGTTTGAAATACAGAATTGACGGAAGCATACAACCCACGGCTTCAAATGTGGAGGAAAAAAAAATACAAAAGACAAAAACCGTGGACGCCAGGGCCTGCATTCGATGCTGCCTGTTGTATGGGCATTGTGGAGAAGTGTTGGGTGTTTGTAGTATATAGCAGGAAGGGGGTCTGGGTGGAGTGGGGCCATTCGCACTGTACATACAGTGACCTCTTTAGAGGTTCTGCAGTGGCACCTTGTTACCATTTAACCAACCCAACACTATATAAAATGTGTCCACCCAGGAACCCGAGTGAATTGGAGCGCAAGGCAGGGTGTAATTAATCACAAACCACTGTCTGCATATAAGACACTTAACTCCACACGACTGAATTATTTGTTTCATAACACCGGCAAATTCACCTCAAACACAGCTCACGCTTTCTCGCCTTAGATAAAAACATCAAAAGGCGCCTCGTGTATTAGATGGCCTAGGGATAGTCTCCTGTTTTGGGTGCTTTCTGAAACTAGTAACTACATGTGGATATTTCCTTTGTCCAATGCTGATAAGAGTTTATGAATCAATATTGATTTCATCCGATTTTTGAAACAGGAGGTTTTGTTGGCTGCTTAATCCGGCTCTTACCTTTAGAACTCCTCCATCTTTCTTAGGGCTGATATCTTCCCCTTCAATAGGGATCTGCTGTTCGGTTTTCTCTTCTCCTGCGGTCATTGTTCCGTTCAAAACTGTTTGTTTCGCAAAAATATAATAATCTATTTAGATACAAGGGCGAGTATAATACTCTAAATGCCTCTAGACTTCCACGGCCAGCATAAACGTGCCGAAACTCGACTGTTTGAGAATGTAATAAAGGGAGGCGGGTCACAGAACTTTCCAGAGAGAGAAAAAAGCTGCAAACGATCCGCCTACTTTCCCGCCTCTAGCACATGGCTCTCTTCTGGCTCTCTGGAAAATTCTCCACTGCGGATTGAACTGTATATACCTCATCGCTGGAGAATGACAGCTTGACTAATTTATCATTACGCGCAGTCCCTAAGACCTGGTTCAAAATATAAAGCCAACCCAAATCTTACACTCGGATAAATTAAAAACAAAAATACTGGAAATATTCAGCAGGTTTTAGTCATGCTGCATTCTCCAACCTGCCCCTAAGATACAGTTTTGAGACCCGCACGTAGCTTGCAGCTTCGATTCATCACCATAATCACTGCACCCGCCCTCCCTCCTTAAGGGTATGTTTCTCCCATATTAAGGGATTTTAGTTATTTTACTTTAGAGAAGCTGGGACTTGTTCATCAAGGAAAACAGATTGTGGAGAGGAGGTGTGATAGACGCAGAGCAGATAAGGAAACACTGGAAGGATGGAGAATCAGAAGGCACAGAATTTAGGTAATTAGCAAAAGAAGTAGCACTGTTCTGAGTCAGGGATGATGAACATGCTTAGGGTTGCAGGGCTCTTGTGGCACAGTGGTACTGTCCCTCCCTCTGAACTTGACAGCCCAGGTGGGTTCAAGTTGTTACATCTCCAAGACAGGTTGATTAGATACTCAAGGTTGCACATTTCTGTCACAGTTCATCATATCATCGATTCTAAACTAATTTGGATCCTAGGGCAGGATGGATCTGAAGTGGTGGATTTCACTTCCTTTTGTTTTCTGCCACCACTCTCCATCATTGTGACTCAAAGCGTGATGCAGCTCAATTAATGTTGCCATTTTGAAAAACTGGTAGCAAACTCTTCCAGTCACTAAGATGCTACCGCACCTCAAGGAAAGTGTTGGACACTTGTTCTTTGCCCACCCCCCCAGGATACTGAATTTGAGAGTTGAGAAAACAGGACTTGATGAAGCAAATGCTTTTCATCCATCCAGACACAATATCTAGTCCAACATAGTTTATTTTACAGGAGTGTTGACATACTGCTTTTGCAGTAGACTTCAAGAAGGGCATGAGAAATTGTTAGACAGTTCTCCTACTGAATTCAGAGGTCGCATGACTCATACAATTTTTCTGGTGCTCTTATGTTTTGCTGACGTCCAGTCAATCTCACTGCAGGAGGGTGGTGGCAACAACTGCTTTGTACACCTGGGCGTTTGTTCACTTGTGCACAAGTTTTGATTTTACTTCTAAAGAGAAGAAAGCATACCTTGCTTGGGACCAACTTCTGTAGCACCAACAAGGAAAGACTGAAATTAAAACAGAACATGTCGGAAATGCTCAGCAGGTCAAGCACATCTACATGAGAACAACTCGCATTGACCGAGAGTCAGAATAAGCAAAAGAGGTGCGCAATGTTTTAAGAAAGTACCGAGCAAGGAAAACAACTAATAAAATGGAAGGTCTATAACAGGTTGAAAGCTACGAGTTGTTAAATGAGGAAAAAAAAAATGGTGCAAGTAAAACGGAGTGATAACGGGATAAGTAAAGAAACAAAATATGGGTCTTTAGAACGTGTATAAAGCAACAACCCAAACATTACACCCACCAACTATGTGGAAAAGTAGGTGCAGTGATTACTTCATTGAAAATGAGGCACTATTCCTCAAGATTCACAAGCATAGATTGTGAGGCTAAGGACTGAAATAAAATAGTTCAGGGTCACATTTGTGGACCAAATTTCAAACATAAAATTAGTTCCCTTTTTTTGAAGATGGAGACCATATTGTGAGCAGTTAAGTACAGTACAGTAAATTGAAAGAAGCACAAATAAATAATTGTTTTACCAGCGTGAAGTGGTTACAATCTTTGATGGTGGGAAATGAGGAGGTGAAAGGGCAGGTGTTGTAATTTCTATACATCAGTCTCATGGAGGGAACAATACCTTCAAAGTACTGAAAGTACAAGAGATGTTTGATAGCACCCTCATGCTGGAGTAAGAAGAGGATTAGATAGTCTGAAGTCTACCTTTTTCATTCATTCACAGCTTGTGGGCATCACTGGCTGGGTCAACATTTATTGCCTATCCCCAACTGTCCAGAGGACAGTTGAGAGTCAATGATAGAAAGTTAGGGAGGAAATTGCAGTGACCTTTGCAAAAATATTTGTACCATCTATAACTACAGGTGAGGTGCCAGATGATTGAAGAGTGGCTGGTGTCGTGCCTTTGACGTTCTTGGGGCCTGGATTTGAATCCTATCATGGCAGATAGTGGAATTTGAATTCAATAAAAATCTGGAGTTAAGAGTCCAATGATGACTACGAAACTGTTGCTGATTGTCAGAAAAACCTATCCGGTTTACTGATACCCTTTAGGGAAGGAAATCTGCCATCCTTACCTGGTCTGGCCTAAATGTGACTTCAGACCCACAGCAACATAGAGTCATAGAGCACGGAAACACATTCCTCGGTCAATGCCGAGCATAATTCCAAACTAAACTAGTGTCACCTGCCTGCACGTGGCCCATTTCCCTCCAAACATTTCTTTTTCATGTACTTACCCAAATGTCTTTTAAACATCGTAACTGTACTGGTGTTCATCACTTCCTCTGGAAGTTCATTCCACGCACAAATCACTCTGTTTTTAAAAAAAGTTGCCCGTCCTTGTCTTTTTTGAATCTTTCTCCTCTCACCTTTAAAAATATGCCTCTTGGTCTTGAAATCCTGCCATTCACCTTATCCATACCCCTCCTGATTTTATAAACCTCTATGAGGTCACTTCGCAATCTCCTATGTGCCAGAGGAAAACAAAATCCCAGCCTCTCCTTTACAACTCAAGCCCTCCATTCCTGGCAATATTCTTTTCCGAACAGCTTAATGATATCTTTCTGGCAACCAGAACTGGACATGGTGCTCCAGAAGAGACCTCACCAACAACCTCAACATTACATCCTAACTCCTATACTCAAACGTCTGACCAATGAAGGCAAGCATGCTAAACGCCTTCTTAACCATACTGTCTACAAATAGAGTCATACAAGATGGAAACAGATCCTTTGGTCCAACCAGTCCATGCTGAATATACTCTTATACTAGTCCCACTTGCCTGCTCCCAGAATTATGTACCCGAACCCCTAGGTCTCTGTCTTCTGCAACACCACCTGAAGTCCTACCCTTGTTTGTTTTCCCAAAATGCAATACCTTTAAATTGAACTCCATCTGCTACTCCTCAACCCATTGACCCATTGTTCAAGATCTTAGATAACCTCCTTCACTGTCCAATTTACCACCAATTTTTGTGTCATCTGCAAACTTACTAACCATGCCTTCTATATTCTGATCTAAGTCATTTATATAAATGACAAACAAAAGTGGACCCAGCACTAATCCCTATGGAACACCACTGGTAACAGGCCTCCAGTCTGAAAAACAACCTTCCACCACCTGGAGGGTGGAGAGGGGCAGAAACAGAAGGGGAGAAACAGAAGATGGGAAACAGGTGGTGCGAAGCAGCCGGGCAAAAACCACCTGTCATTAAGCCAATTTTGAATCCAATTGGCAAGTTCACCCTGAATACCATATGATCTAACTTTACAAATTAGTCTACCATGCAAAACCTGGTCAAAGGCTTTAGAAGTAAAGAATGTCTACCACTCTGCCCTCATCAGTCTTCTTGGTAACTTCCTCAAAAAACTCAATCAAGCTTGTGAGACATGATTTCCCTCACACAAAACCGTGCCTATCCCTAATCACGCCTTAACTGTCCAAGTGCACATAAATTCTATCTTTCAGAATCATCTCCAACAGTTTACCCACCACTGACGTCAGACACACAGGTCTATAGTTCCCAGATTGCTCCTTCTTGACCGAGGAACGTGTTTCCGTGCTCTACGACTCTACGTTGCTGTGGGTCTGAAGTCACATTTAGGCCAGACCAGGTAAGGATGGCAGATTTCCTTCCCTAAAAGATATCAGTAAACCGGATAGGTTTTTCTGACAATCAGCAACAGTTTCATAGTCATCGTTGGACTCTTAACTCCAGATTTTTATGGAATTCAAATTCCACTATCTGCCATGGTAGAATTCAAATCCAGGCCCCAAGAACATTAGCTGGAACTCTGGATTACCTGCAGCAATTTCACTCCTCCTCTTCAGTACAAAGTAACATTTCAATTCAGATGCTCCATTACATCTTTTGATGATTTGAATACAAAGACTGCTGAACTGAAGTGTGAAGTCAAAAGGACCCTTATGGTAGGAAAGGGGAGAGCTAAGAGCTAAAGTGTAGGAGACTGGACAGAGAATCGAGGGTAGGTGTGGAATTTCAATTTGGGAAAAGGAAGATGTATTGGAAGCACTCATGTGCCAGAACAGATGTGATAATGGAAGGCCAGTTTCTTCTTTTCTATGTGAAGCGGGATGAAGTGTAATCATGGTAGGTTTGGAAGTAATTGGCCTTGCCAAAAGGTCATTGGCAAATCAGATTAGATATATGAACGCATGGCTCAAATACTGGAATGGGAGGAGTTCTGGTTTAAGAGGTCCTGCCACCAGTACTGGGGAAAGTAGGATCTGTACAGATAGATCTGAACAGGATGGTCTCAACCTGAAACAGGCTAGGGCTGGTGCTCTTGCCAACTGCATAACTAGGCAAGTAAAAAGGTGTAGTGATTGGAACCAGGTTGACCTTGTTGACTGAAGTCATCGATTGGTCAGGTTAACAAGTCCCATTAGGAAAGCCCTGGCTGACCAATCAAACCAGGAGATTAGATCTCCTCAGTTCAGGTGACTGACTCTGAACTGGCTGGCCACTGAAAGAAATCTATTAATATGGGAAATGACAAATAGACCTTGACAGGATAGGCTAGAGAGTACGAACCTAAGACTGAACTAACAGATAAAACTACAAGTTACAAATAAAGGATAAAGCTAAAAGTAATGTAACTGAATGCACAGAGCATCTATAACAAAACAGATGAACTGACAGAACAAATTGAAATAAATAGTTATGATCTGGCAGGCATTACAGAGACATGGCTGCAGAATGACAAGAACTGGAACTGAATCTTGTAGGGTAAAGGATATTCAAGGACAGAAAGCTAGGAGAAGGTGAATAGATGGCTCTGTTAGCTAATTATGGTATTAGTACAATAGTGAGTGATCACCTAAGTTCAGGAAACCTCGAAACAATTTGGACGGAGATTAGAAATAAAAAAAGCAATGTCACTTGTGGGAGTAGTGCATAGGCCCCTTAACAGCAACTATATAGTGGGGTGAAGCATAAAGGAAGAAATAATTCAAACTTGTCAGAAAGGTACAGCAATAGCCATTGGAGATGTTAATCTCCCTATTTATCTAGAAATGGGCAAGAATTTGTATGAAAGGAACGGGAAGTGAAAATTCAAAACACAGAAGCTTCAACAAGTGAATCAGAGATAGTAGGAACTGCAGATGCTGGAGAATCCGAGACAACAAGGTGCAGGGCTGGATGAACACAGCAGGCCAAGCAGCATCATAGGAGCAGAGAGGCTGA